ATATATAAATTTCAATAAAATAATGCTGATTTTATAATCTTTAACTTAGTTTTCGCTGATATAGTAATATAGTTTTTCTCAACGTTTGTATTACCAGGTCCCATTGTTAAAATATTTTCCAATTTGAAACATACCTACCTTAAAAAATAAATAAATTATCAAATAAAACCGTATATAAAATGTTATACTTGTGTGCTAATATTTCATTTCAAATTCTAAATAATTAAATCGAAAATGTAATGTTCAAAAGTTATAAACAATAAAAATATTATGGTTTATTATATTAAATCTCGCGACGTATTGTTAAGAGACAATGTGTTAATTATTTATTTATTGTAAATAAGTCAACTACGTTCTCTTGTTACTCGAAAACTAATACTTAAAATATTAGTCAGGTGTATCAACGATTAAAACGACGCAACTTAAAATAATTCCTATATTTAGCAAATTCTACTAAAATGGCTTTATGGCTTAATGGATGAAGTTCATTTCCTACACGGTTAAACTAGATATGTATGTTAGATCCTAAACGGTGAAAAAAAACACATAATAAATTCTATAAATAAATATTTGACGATTGTAAAATATAATTAAAATAGCATAATGCGATATTTTATATGTTATGAGTTTTATTTCAATAACTTAAAAGTTTAACATAATCATATTGATCAATTTTGTTTCTTTTATAATCTAATTTTTTTTTCATTTATAAAATCTTTTCGGCGTATTTTTTACTGATTTTTGTGTCAGTATAACTATTTGTGGTTCATATTTTTATATGCCTATTTAATTGAAAAAAGTATGAGATTTTCAATAGTTTTAAAAATATGTGGATATTGGTGATAAAAATTTGAATTAAAATCTAAATGAATACTTTCACACGCGTTTGTCATATGTATTCCATCAGAAGATTTCTGGACCCAAATTTTCGGTGGAAACTTACTATCATTTAATGTACAATTGTTTATTAAATAATCATAAAATTCTGTGTTTCAAAATGAATTTATTTGAAAAAAGTAAAATACCCAATACAAAATTATATCTATGCATCCTAAGTTGAAAGAATCGGATTATCACAGTAATTTTTTTTATCGCATAGAAATTAACTAACGTATCATTTTTTTCTTTACTGTCTAAGAACTAACACAATCACATTTTTAGGAACTAACGTATGTAATTGTTTACCTGTAACTCTCGTATAGGAACTTACCATCCCCCCGGCTAAATTACTATCGTTGGTTTGTAACAGCTATCTATTTATATTTGTTCCATACTTTTTTTTTCTCGTCATGTGATGCGTGAAATACATAAATTATCTAAATTCATAATGTACGAACAAATATTTACCAAGGACCAATAAATTTATTTTATCAAAACAAAGAATTTGAAGATAATTCCATTATTATTATTATACTATTAGTCTAAGATATGTTCATATACTACTCAGAGTGTGCAAGCTCGAAAATTTATATCCAGATAATGTCATCTACACGCGCTGGACTGATATTAACCATAACACGTTATATAACGGTATTTTACAATATATGAGTATGTTATGGTGTGATTGCCGAACATAGAATAATTTTTAATTTTATTAGATATTTTAAGCGGTTTAAATTTTTCGGGCTTATCGCTTATCGGCTATCTCTTGACCTAATTTTTCGTACGTTTATACTGCACGTAATACCGTTTATGTTTACATTCAACGTGTACCGTAGTCGAAATTAATTTAACTTTGGTAACTATACGCGTAACTTTTATAGTAATTGTACACTTATTTGGCATTACACTGACATTGAGTTAGTCAAATAATATATACTTTGATACAAGCAAATTTCTTCGTACGTATTATGCTATATTCCAGTGCCGTAACTAGAGGTTGACAAAATGGGCACACAGTGGGATGAAATCAATTCTAGCACGTCAAAATCGTTATTTTAATGAGTCAATTTTTATTTATGAAAAAATTAATTTTTTAAAAGTAAACTGAATTTATAAAATTAAACTACTATAATCCAGGCCATATATCAATATACTGATATATTGTTGTTTATTTAATTAATAATCAAAAAAAAAAAAACCTTGTTTCCTTTGTCGAACAAGGTACAATGTTTTTTTTTTTTTTTGTCAAAAGACTTTTTACTTTTAATTTTTCTCCGTGGAGTAGATGTAGCTATTTTCAATAGATCTTCAAACGCTCTTTTTCAATTTTTATAAAATTTTTAATTTTGCATCACGTTTCATTTTTAGCGTAATGCATATTTTTTAACGCTATAGATTACGTTTTTTACTTCAAGTAGAACATTACGAAATTTTAAACATTGATAGTGTTGATATATCGGATTTTTAAAAAAAATATCGATGTTTTATTTTATTTTATGACATAAAATACTTTAGTTTTAAATCTTAAAATACAGTTAAAACAATTATAATTAATTATAATATGATAATAATCAACGTGAAACTGTGAACCACGATTAAAGATGTCTTTCATCGTGGTCGCGACTGAACGAATCAAAATGAACACACTGTTAAGGACATTGGTCACACTTACGAGTTATAACACATCTTACACTTATTTTATCACGTATTACGAATTTTAAATTTCAATGCCCATTGCGAAACTCGATGGTCGAGTCCTTCGGTGGAACACTCAACACAGAAAACCTCGTGAAAAACTAAAAACTGTGAACTGACAAATTAATAACATAATTAAAAAAAAAAAAAAAAAACATCGAAATAAAAACATTGATTTTTTCTTTGATGTATCGTCGATAAAAAAATATCGAAGCAATGTATCGAACAAAAACATCGATGTTTTTTGCCCATCCCTAATATACAATGACATTTTAGTTGCGTTATTACGATGAGATAAACATTTTGGAACCATAATAAAGTGTATTAATTATCAATTGTATGTAAATTATTTACAATTATTTATTATTATACCTAATGTTATGTACAATTTTTATTTTTGACTTTTGGCACGCTAGGATTGATTTAATCCCGCTATGAGGTGATTGCCAAAGGCAAATTTGAGTTGAATTAAAATTGGTTTTATATACAAAATAAAATTCACAGAAGGTGGCACGGTTATGGCACTGCTATATTCAATTATTTTTAACACATCGCTGAATAATATTGCATCGTTTGTAATTTAACAAAATGTTATATAAACGCAATGATTTTTGTCAAAAATTACATTGTGTACAAAATAATAATTAATATTTAAATTAAAAATACTATTTTATGCGATTAGTTGTTTAAATGTAGAATACATATTATTTTAATTGTGTTATTATATACATATGTTTAATTATTTTAATATGTTACGTGCAACAGATATTTTTCCATTGATGTTGTGTTCATTGATTATTATTCATTCTTGATTCATTCTAATTCTAGTGATTTTATGTTCAATAATTGCAATTTTTAATTTTATTATCTTTACATAGCACTTTCGAGTTTATCATTTATATTCTTAATTTCGTAGAAATCCAATAAAGTAATTAGCATATCAAAATCAAATTTTAAGTGGTACTTTTACACGTTGGGTTATTTATTATTCATTAGATCAATATTGCTTAAAATATATTTTGTCATAATTCATTATAATACGTTATATATTCAACAACTAATAACTCAAGAGTGTTTTTTTTTGAATTTCGAAACATGAGTATTTATATATATATATAAACAGTATAAATAGTTAATGTTTGTCATTAATTTAATCATTCATCGTTGTACCTGCTTATTGTAGGTTGCATCTTTGAACATTAATATCTTCTGATATATTTCAATTTAAAAACAATGACTACGGTTAGTGTAATATTTTTATTGTCAGTGATTTTTTTTAGAGTCCATGCAACAGAAAAGGCATACTTCTTACAAGAAGATTTCATTGACCAAATCAACGAAGTCGCTACAACATGGAAGGTAAGTTGCTTATAACCGACATCCAACATGTCGTTAAATCTTAACCCATATTTTAATATGATGATGACCTTATAATTTGTATCCAGTTACTCATCAGACACTTCCTTGTGCAATTCACTTTTTTTTTAATATAATTATATGATTGTTGACATACGTCGCCGTTCATTATCATGGATTGATTTAATAATTTGCCTCCCTTATGATATATTTGTCATTTTTATCCTAAAAATATCACATTTGAACCACAAAATGTCCTGACATATAAATATTTTCTCAATATTTTGTAATTATTTTTTTAACATAAAAAATAAGTAATAATAAGCCTAATAATTAGTCATAGTTAATGTCTACACATATATTTGTTCTATTTTTTTTTTAAATCATCAATAATATCTTAATACATTAATTATGACATTTAGTCACTTTCCATAGTTTCAATGGTCGAGAAATTGAGGTTTTCATGCAACATTAGTTGATTATAATAATTTTCATTATTTTTTAATTTTTTAATTTTAATACGCATCAAGAACTAAGTTTAATATAATAAATAACCAATTTCATTAATAATGTCCATAAAACATGTTCAAAAATAAAACACATCATAAACACAATTCCTACCACCGCTACTTTATATTATGGAACATGATGTAATATAGTTAAACTGCATGTATACTTACCGTCGGATTATTTATTTTTTTTTATGACATGTTATCGTTTATAAAGAGAGTGTTAGTGTACATTTAATAAGTTAAAAGCAAAGTACTCGAAAGCAATTTGTTCTTAATCGTTTAATACATACTATACACGCATCGTATACTTTATTAGGCCGGTGTCAACTTCGATCCAAACACACCAGTGGAGCATATGTTGAGACTTTTGGGATCGAAAGGTGTGCAAAAAAATAAAACCCTTAGTCCAGAAATGTACAAAACACACGACGTCGCTTACAAAAACATGCAACATCCTCCCCATCATCCTCCGATCCCGCCGAATTTCGATGCGAGGCGACATTGGCGTAAATGTGACAGCTTGATCGGAGAAGTCCGTGACCAAGGCAATTGTGGATCGTGTTGGGTGTGTATTATTTTTTTTAAAAAAAAAAAAAAAGAAAGTTAAAAAATACGACAACAATAGTATTATATTGAATGATCGACCATTTTGATTGTTGACTAATTTTGGTTAAATTAATGGATTCTCTAGGCGATGTCTACGAGTTCAGCGTTCGCTGATCGTTTGTGCATAGCCACCGATGGACAATTCAATGAACTACTATCCGCAGAAGAACTGACGTTTTGCTGTCATCTATGCGGTTTCGGTTGCAAAGGGGGTTGGCCGATTAAAGCTTGGGAGTATTTCAGAAAACATGGTATAGTTACCGGAGGAGATTATCAATCTTACGAAGTGAGTAAATTATTCGAATTGTATTGTTATTACGAAATGTTTCGTTTGTCATTCGTTATAATCATCTCAAATGTAAAAACATAATAGAATGAATCTAAATAGTCCGTTTTTAGGGCTGCCAACCATACAGAATCCCTCCGTGCCCTTATGATCAATCGGGCAACAACACGTGCAGTGGTAAACCAATGGAAAAAAATCATAGATGTACAAGGATGTGTTATGGAGATAAATATATTGATTTCAAAAAAGATCATAGATTCAGTATGAAATTAATTTACATAATAAAATAATGTTATAATATGATTAATATGATTTACGAGTATCATATATATATATATATATATATTACAGTAAAAATTATAATTGTGAACATATCATGTATATTTATTTAATAAACTAACACTTTAACAATTGTAGCTCGAGATGCCTATTATCTAACATATAATACAATCCAGTTCGACGTAATGACTTATGGGCCCATTGAAGCGTCGTTTGATGTCTACGACGATTTTTTCAGCTATAAGTCAGGTAAAACTTAAATCGACTATTGTTGTATACAATATTGTATCTTCGAGACTCGGTTTGAAAACCATTTTTTAATCCAAAGTTGATTTTTTGTAGGAGTATACGTCAAATCAGATAATGCGACACTCTTAGGTGGCCATTCGGTTAAATTAATTGGATGGGGTGAGGAATTCGGAGTTCCATATTGGTTGATGGTTAATTCGTGGAATGAAGAATGGGGAGACCGTGGATTTTTCAAAATTCGCCGAGGCACAAACGAATGCGAAGTCGATAATTCAATGACAGGAGGTATTCCAGTGGTCCACAATGATTCAGTTTAAAAAATAAATAAAAATGTAATCTATTTGTTAATTTAATATTTATTAAATAAATGTTTAGTAGTGTCGATGTTTATCGATTAACTCATGTTAGTGTGAAATGTTCGATGCAAATGTTTTTCTTAATTAATGTATTACTATTCAGATTTTCAAATTGTGTATATCGGCAACAGCGTGTTGTGTTTACTGACGAAAAAAACACAAGAAATTTTTCCCTTACACGAAAAAACATTGAATCATATGTATGCTTTTAAAGGGTTGCTGTTAGTTGAGACAAATTTTTACGATGTATCGAAATTGGTCATACAATGAAATAAAATTTAATATTAATTTATTTATATTATGTCGTCTACGGAAAAACCAAATTATAATACATAGTTTGATCAATTTGATTCATGTAGTAACATTGTAAAACAAACAGACTTACAATTGCAGTGTTTCTTTTTTTTTAAATTCTATAATTTAATTTTATTTGGTAATTGAAGAGATAAGTGCAAAAATGAGATAAGTCTACATTTAGAAATTTTTCAGGGTATGAAAAAAGTTATACATAATTTAAACTAAGAATCCAAAAATCTCTTCGGTCTTTAATAACGTTAAATATGTACATATTTAAAAACTAATTTAAATCGAATCTTTCACTAAATTATCTCTAAAACTTAAACAATGTTTGAATTTTTCAAAACAAAGGCTGCCTGTATTTTCAACTATAAGATAAGAAAAAAATTATGTTTTTGTCTTTTTGAGTATCCAAATTATATTCTCTGAAATGTTTATACATAGAAACTTACTTGTATATTGTAGTATTGCAAATAACAATCTTAGTTGAAATAAAAATGTATCATAATAATTAAATTTCTTCATGTAAATTTATATAATGATAATAATACACTAATACACAATTTGTAGTAAAATAACATTAAATTATAATGTCACAATCACAACGAATATTCACACTGAATATATTCATATTGTATATATAATACGTATATTTTATATGTTTACTGAAAAAATTAGGTAAGTCCGGACTTGTCTGGGTTTTGCACAGAAATCGAGAAACAAGACAAATTCATCTCATTGTTATTTCCATTGATATTGACTTGCCTCATTGTTGACAATATTATTAAAGAATTTTTCCTTTTATTTGAAATATTCAATTAGTAATTTTCAAAAAAACTAGACTTGTTTGGTTTCTGCACTAAGCTTAATATGCGCTTAATCAGATGCGTGCCTAGGAAGTGGTTTTTGGGGGTTGAAACCACCCCCTAATTGACTTTCTTAATTTTTTTACCATATTTTATTTATAAAATAAAAAAAACATATATTCTATTATATTACACAGTCACTGTGAAATATAAATTTATACATTAATATTTGACTAAAATTTTATACAGATATAACGTTTTATTTTGAAATAATCGAGTTGGTCACTCAAATCTAGAACATGTGGGTTTTTTGGTTTAAAACATTTTTAATCGGCGGAAAAAATGCTAAACCAAATTTTAATTATCATTAAAATAATAAGAGAGTATAATACGAGCAAAATAATCAGAGTAGCATACCATTAATTTCCCCTTTAAAATATTATAAAATATCTATAATATTCATAGCATTTTTTAATCATACTTGTATATTATTATCATATTATTATACTATATTATATTTACTTATCTGACTGGCCGTTTCGTAAATCACAAAAGAAATTTATAATAACGTTAGCAAATTAAAATCTCCCCAAAACAAAATCTTGGACACGCCCCTTCCATTGATGGTTGATGCCTAGATATATACGCGCAAATTCATAGTTCTTGTCCATGAATATAAAATAAATACAAATATAAATATAAATAAATTAGTTAATTGTTTATTGTGTCACATGCATTTAGGTACTCTTTACACATTAAATTTTTTTCAATATTTATTAGGGAATGGGTTTTTAGCGAATATTTTAATTGCACCTTTATTTAACCTTCATTTAAAAATAAACTCGACGAAAGTTCATGTTCTATTCTTGACTATAATATTATTATTTGATAGTAACTTATTAAGTATTTATATGTTATCAACTTGTAGGTTGAAACTGCAAAACGATAGGTTTTTTGGGGGTAGGATATGTTTAATATGCCATCGAAACCAGCAAAAGAAAAACAATTATCATATCCCAACACAATGATTATAAAATAAAAAATATTATGATCGATTGGTTGATTATAATCGAATTAACAACCACTAATTTACTAAGTAACTAATTAGTCAGTGTCCACTACTATCTGGCACGATTATAAAATCTATGTAATTTCAGCCGGAATGTGCTGTCAAAAGAATATAGTGTGTTGTTTTTTTTATTTTTTTTCTATGAGAAATATCCAAACAGTACACGCCCGTTTCGAAAAAAATATCTTTACCTACGAAAAAAAGAAAAGTAGTTGTCGTGGTTCAATGTACGAGTGGACGTTGAAATAAAAATACACGTCTATCGCGCGTATCCCATAACACATTGCCATAACAGAACCCAATCAATATTTTATTTTCAGGTGATGCGTGGGTTGATTGTACGTAGCAACTCGCGTTGCTGACATGGTTTTGCAATGACACAACCATGTACATTTAATACTGTAAGTTTACAAAAATAACCGAGTACTTATTAACAGTGGAAGTTTGAGTAATACAATATCGAAGTGACTTTGAGAATAAAACACAATTATTTTAAAATGTGTACAATTCATATAGGACATATGGACATTGTTAATATTACTAAGAAACTGTAACTAATCTTTTAATGGTGCCAAATCTCGATTTTCTATACGTTTAACTGTCGTTTTGTTCAAACATTCTGATAAATGCATTACATCGTTTTTCCATCAAATAATTTTTTTTTTTTACGATACAATCATATTTCATTATCAATGCTGAAAAGTGTATGTTCCGACGAGATTATTGAGTTCACTTTTCTAAATGTCTAAGAGTGTATACATATAAACATCAAATAGATATAGAAAATAATTTTTTAAGTATTGAGAAAAAAATGTTTTAATTCAAATCACATAATACTAACAATATAGTTACTATAGGCAATACGTGACATGAAGTAGCGACAAGAACAAATTATTTAATTAAAGCAGCGAAGCCAATGGGCCTGGGAGTAAACCAGGGCAAAAAAATATTTAGTCATGACTAGGAGAACAAGAGATAATTCAGACTTATAAGTTGAAAACTATACCTTTCAACAAGTGAGTGATTTCAAATACCTTGGGGTGAACATAAATCAACACAATAATATACATAACGAAATTAAAATAAGGATATCTGCCGCTAACAAGGGTTACTATGCTTTGGAAAAATTGTTTAAGTCTAAACTCCTCTCTAGACGATCAAAAGAACGCCTGTACTTGTTTTTTACGACTAGTATTAACATACACGTGTGAAACATGGTCAACTACCAAATGTGATGAGGAAAAAATAGCTTGTTTTGAAAAAAAAGTACTTAGAAGGCTGTATGGAACTATTTTAGAAAATTAAGAGTATAGAAGAAGAACTAATAGAGAATTACAAAAAATTTGCCAAAAATCCGGTATTAATGCTTACCTCATGAGTAAACGAATCGAGTGGGCAGGGCATGTACGGATATTAAATGGAACCATAAAGAAAGCTCTGGAAGGAAAGATAAATGGGAAAAGACCTAGGGGTCACCCTAAGCAGCGCTAGACAGACAGGTCAACGATGATCTCAACAAGTGCACCCAGGGAGTGACAATAGCAGACAGCGTTAATAGATATAGATGGAGGAATGTAGTAGAGGAAGCGAAAGTCCTTCAAGAACAGTAAGAGCTCAAGAAGAAGAATGGTACTAATAATTTTTGATCAAATTATCGAAAGCACGTTGGAATTTCGCTTTTATTCCGCTTTCATTGTATTCCATAACTACGAACATTTTTTACTTTTGCTGCTCATGTTTTCTCAGTGACCAGTCATTATTAGTAATAATTATAGCTATAATAGTTATAACTTTATTAATTTTACCATATTCCAGAACAATATTACACTTTATCGAGTTTAATGCATTGCACCTTTATCGTACATAGGTAATAACTCCACGTATTCGATTATATTATGAAGTTGACAATAATTATTATTAATTTCTAACGAGATTTATGAAATTATAAACATTAAAATGTCAGTAAAATATTTTATTGATTACCTACTATACCCTTTAATTTTTATTATTCATTAATAATACATTTTACTTAAATTGGCGCATTATATAATATTACAATAGTAAGTATAGTATTACAATATTATTTTAGTGTCAGCAGTGGCGTAGCCAGGAGTTTTGAATGGGGGGGGGGTCTAACTACTTTTTTGGATAAGTAAGGTAAGAGAGGATATGAGAATTCAGCCTTAACCCCCCCCCTCACCATCTACCACCAAGTTTCTAAACGTGATTCAAGCATTTTATTATAGTTTTAAAAATATTTATTAATATATAATTTATAATAATAATAATAATAATAATTTTGGTTTCAGTGTTCAGTCACTTGCTCCACTCTGACAGCTGCATCCTCTTAGGTGAATTTCTGGCAAATTCAGTTATTATTTCACTTTCATCGAATTGCTCTTTTTTATTTATATTAGCCATAGCTAACCCATTCAGTCTGTTTTCCGACATGGTGCTTCTTAAAAAAATTTTTAAGCGATTAAGTGCTGAAAACGTTCTTTCCGGAGTGAAAGAGGTAACTGGTAACGTGGCGAATAATTGTAAAAGTATTTTAATGTTAGGTCGAAGATTGGTGTGATGAGAGAGTGAATCAAGAGCAGAATTCGGTTTTGGAATAGTATTTTGACTCCATTGTTGCCTCCATATGAACAGGTTAGTTCTGATTGTAGATGAGATATCATCATGGAGATCTTGGACATATATTTTAGCAGTTTTTATAATATTTTTATCGTCATACATATTTAAATTGGTCGGAATAAGTCCTTCAAGTGGCATAACATCAATAAGCCTTTGATTAAAACGAGCATTGATTCTATTAAATAGTCAAGATACATTATACATATAAACACGGCTCATGGGGGGGCTATAGTCCTCTTAGCCCCCCCCCC